ATGAGCTATTATAAAAAAACCTGGGGGCTGACAGGTTATGCTGCTGCCTGAGACACCCATATGTCCCATATGAGTACCGATTTAAGTCCTAGCTGTTCCACTTCTGACTCAGTTCCCTGCTGATGTTCCTGGGAAAGCAGCAGAAGAAGGCCCAAGTGTCTGGGCCCTTGCTATCCATGTTGGACACCTAGGTGGAGTTCCAGGCTCCTGGCTATGGCCTCACCCAGCCCCAGGTCTTGTGGCCATTTAGGGAGTGGATAGGTAGATGGAAGAGCTCTGTTTCTCCCTCTCTGTATATCTCTGCCTTTCAAATAAATAAATAAAAATAAGTAAATTAAATAAAATCTTTAAAGAAAAACATAGCTGTTGTAAACATTGGTATACAGGGTTTTATGTATACAAAATATTTTCTTTCTCTGGGATAGATAAATAAATGTGCAAGAATGCAATTACTGAAGCATTAGTAATTACAGAGAGAGGTACAGAGAGTTAGAGAGGTAGAGACAGAGGTCTTTCATCCACTGAATCGTTCCCCAAATGGCCGCAATGGCTGTGGCTGAGCTGATCTGGAACCAGAAGCCAGGAGCTTCTTCCGGGTCTCCCATGTGGGTGCAGGGGCTCAAGCACTTAGGCCATCCTCTGTTGCTTTCCTGGGCACGTTAGCAGGGAGTTGGATCAGAAGTGGAGCAGCCAGGACTAAAACCAGCTCCCGTATGGGATGCCAGCACTGCAGGCTGGGGCTTTAACCTGCTGCACCACAGTGTCAGCCCCAGAAGTAAGTCTGACTGAGTTGGTTGCTTTTGGGAAATTAGTCAAAGAGACCAAATCTTATATCCTCATCCAACTCCTGTGACTCTTCCTTGGTCTCAGCCTTCGCTGGGACTACAGCAGCTGCAGGAGCAGCAGTAGGCAGGTATATTCAATCTCCACAGGCAGAGCCAGGACCGGGGTTAGTCCTTTGGCATGGTGGGTAAAGCCACTGCCTGCAGTGCCGACATCCCGTACGGGCACCGGTTCAAGTCCTGTATGCTCCACTTCCAATCTGGCTCTCTGCTATGGCCTGGGAAAGGAGCAGAAGATGGCCCAAGTCCTTGGGCCCTGCACCCACATGGGAGACCTGGAAGAAGCTCCTGACTCCTGGCTTCAGATCAGCACAGCTCCAGCGGTTGCAATCATCTGGGGAGTGAACCAGAGGATGGAAGACCTCTCACTGCCTCTGCTTCTGCCTCTCTCTAATTCTGCCTTTTAAATAAGTAAATAATGAAAAAAAAAAAAAAGCCAGGATCCACTTTTATCTGTTGATGGTAGTCTGGGGTACTGATGCAATAATTGGATAACCAGTCTGCAGACAAACACTGGAAACATTACAGTCTCCAGAAAGTGAGAATACAGAGTTTCCTGTGTGATTTCCTGGACTTCAGGGTTATAGGTGCTGCCGCTCTTGAACACCTGCTGGATGATCAGCGCAGAGGAGAAGGGGGAGATGTTTAGCATATTCAGCAATGTGGCCTTGCTGGCTCCCACTTCGTCTTCAATCTTTTTTTTTTTTTCTTTTTAAAGATTTATTTATTTGAGAGGTAAAGTTATAGACAAAGGGAGAGACAGAGGGAAAGGCCTTTCATCTGCTGGTTCACTCCCTAAATAGCCTCAATGGCTGGAACTGGGCCGATACAAAGCCAGGAGCCAGAGGCTTCTTCCAGGTCTCACATTCAGGTGCAGGAGCCCAAGCACTTGAGACATCTTCTACTGCTTTTCCAGACCATCAGCAGAGAGCTGAATCTGAAGAGGAGCAGCCGGGACACAACCAGTGCCCATATGGAATGACGGTGCCGCAGTACATCACAATGCCAGCCTCTGTCCCCAGTCTTTATCAGCATCACTCAGAATTTTAGTAGTACTGTGGAGATTTTTGTGTGATGCCCAAAACCTGGAAAAAGGAGGTCTTACTGGGTCCTGGTGTTCTGAACTGGCACAGTGACCTCATGGGGGAAGTTGAAAAAGCACAAGTGCCAGCTGGCAACTTACTGGCCAGTACCATATCCCTGATCTTAGTGAGGTCCACATTCTCCTGGATATGAGGCAGGAGCAGCTCCGAGCTGGCCCCAGATACTGTCAGATAGCCTTGCATGTCATCAGTATCATGGCCTTCCCTCTGAGGGACATGCATCTGCTTAGAGCCCAAGATTTCTGCTTCTGCGGTGAGGCATCATTTGGATCATCATCCAGAAGATGGATGGTGTTAATGAAGTGGTTAACAATTCCGGATCACCCTGTTTCCCATGGGCATCACAATGGTGCATCAGAGATTACCATGCAGAGTTTAAAGATGTTAGTCTCATGAGGATGCCTTGCAAGTGTATTATTTTGTACTTTAGTTATTCTGATAAGTATATAATGTTACTGTAACTTCAGTTTTCCTTCTCTAATAGCTAATGGTAATGAACATATAATCATGTATTTATTTGCCAATGGTATATCCTCTTCATTGAAATATCTCTTCATATCTTCTGTAATTGGATCTTTTCTTCTGTTGTTGAGTTTTGAAGGTTATTTATAAATTCTGAATTTGAGTCCTTGATGGATACATGGTTTGCTGATATTTTCTCTGTATCTAGCTTTTTTATAGCATCTTTTAAAAAAGATTTTGATTAATTGAAAGAGTTACAGATAATATCAGCTAGAGTGATTCCCTCTTTTATTCTTTTGCATGATAGTTTTAGTGATTTTGGGGCTGTATCTTCTTGATAAATTATATAATTAAAAATTATTTTGAGAGAGATTGATATAATAAGAGTTCCAATCTATTGGATCACTCCCATTTATGCCCACAGTAGCCAGAGTTGTGCCCTGCTGAAGCCAGAAGCCAGGAACCCATTCTAAGTTTCCAACATGGGTGGGAGTAACCCAGTTTTCTGGTTCATCATCCGTGTCTCCCAAAAGCTGCATTAGCAGGAGGCTGAAATCAGGAACAGGGACTATGCATTGAAACCTAGCAATCCAATATGAGACATGGATAAATTCACCAGCACCTTAACTAGCATCTCAAACACAAGGCTAGTTGCCTGCTTGCATCTAAATTTCAGAATTAGCTGGATTAATTTTACAAAAAACTTGCTGAGACTTATATAAGACATTAAACTTTCAGAGCATTTTGGGGACAACTGACAGTTTTACTATATTGAGTTTTCAATCATGAACACATATCTACCCATTTATTTACATTGTCTTTGGTTACTATCAAGAGTATTTTGTGATTTGCAGTATACAGATACTGTACTTGTTTGCTTCAGCTTATATGTGAGTATTTAGTTTTCTTTAGAGTGATTGTTAATGATATTTTAAAATTTAGTTTTTCTATTTCTTATTAATACATAGAATGGTGGTTTTTAAAAATTATTTATTGGCTAGCATGGCGGCTCACTAGGCTAATTCTCCACCTGCGGTGACTGCACCCCGGGTTCTAGTCCTGGTCGGGGCTCCTCTTCCAGTCCAGCTCTCTGCTGTGGCCTGGGAAGGCAGTGGAGAATGACCCAGGTCCTTGGGCCTTGCACCCGCATGGGAGACCAGGAGGAAGCACCTGGCTCCTGGCTTCGGATTGGCGTAGCACGCCAGCCGCAACGCGCCAGCCCTAGCGGCCACTTGGGGTGGGGGGTGAACCAATGGAAAAGGAAGACCTTTCTCTCTGTCTCTCTCTCTCTCACTAACTGCCTGTCCAAAAAAAAAATTATTTATTTTATTCATTTGAAAGAAAGAGTCTGTGCTCCCATCCACTGGTTCACTCCCTGTATACCTGCAAAGGCCAGAGCTGGGCCACACCAAAGCTGGAAGCTGGGTGGGGACTCAATCCAGGTCCCTCAGTGGGTGTAAGGGGTCCACCTACTTGAGCCTGTTGTCTCCCAAGGTACAAGTTAGCAGGAAGCTATTTTTGAAAGTAGAGCTGGAACTTGAAGCCAGGTGCTCTTATAGAGAATGTAGGCATTCCAACTAGTGTCTTAACAGCTGTGCTGTTAACATCTTAACACCTGTCCTGTGACTGGTTTTTGTGTTTTGGTTTCAAAAAGATAAAAAGAAGTAGCTTTTACTATTGTTCCTAATATCTATTTTTTAAATTTATCGGCAGGCGCCACGGCTCAATAGGCTAATCCTCCACCTAGCTGCGCCGGCATACTTGGTTCTAGTCCCAGTTGGGGCGCCGGATTCTGTCCCGGTTGCCCCTCATCCAGGCCAGCTCTCTGCTGTGGCCAGGAAGTGCAGTGGAGGATGGCCCAAGTGCTTGGGCCCTGCACCCCATGGGAGACCAGGATAAGCACCTGGCTCCTGCCTTCAGATCAGCGTGGTGTGCCAGCCGCGGCGGCCATTGGAGGGTGAACCAACGGCAAAAGGAAGACCTTTCTCTCTGTCTCTCTCTCTCACTGTCCACTCTGCCTGTCAAAAAAAAAAATTTATCTTTAGGTGAGCTCTAAAATTTTTGTAGAGACAATTCTAACATACTGGGTAACTAATTGCCAGCACTTCCTGCAAAGGAGGTTGAATTATTTTTTTACAGTTTATATATTGAGAATAAATATTTGCCAAGCCAAGATAGAGCACAGTTGGGATTCAAATCCAGGCTTGTGCACGGCAGTTTACAATATGCTGTACCAAGTTTATGTTAAAATAAAAAGTCTAGAGGCCATTTACATGGCACTTAGATGGTATGTTTTCTGAGAAATTGATTTTTTTCCCATTTTTTATTTTTCTTATTTTTTTTCTAGCCCTCCTTAGGACATGTAGTTTACCAGAACATCACTATTGCTACAAGAACAGAAAGACTAGATCCAGTTCTTTATCTCACTGCAACATGAGCCCATGCTGTCACATGGTATCCTAAGTTGCCCCTGGACCAGCTGCTTCTGCTGATATAGGCAGTAGCCTTTCACAAAGATGGTGGTTGTTCCACCTTCTAGATAATGAGAACAAGGCTGGGTCTAAACCCTCTGTGGGTTCTCTTTTTGTTCCAGGGATTATAAAGCAGCTAACATCAACATCAACTTATACCTGGTCAACGAGCCTTGGCTCTTCTCACTGGCCTGGTGCTCCAGGATTGACTCGGTGACCACAGACAACATTCCGCTCCTGAGTCAGCTTGATTCCCCTCACTTCTTCATGGTGAGCTGCTTGCCCAGAGTGTTCTTCCAAGCCTGGTACAGAAGGAATTTGTGTCCCCATCCCCCATCCCCCATCCCTGTGTTGTTGACTGTGCAGACCCTTGGGAGCTACTTAATAGCAGGGATTTCTAAGAGTATTGAGATGTGGCATTCTCCATTCCCTCACCCAGATCCTCCTGTGACTTTCTGGGAGACATGGGCATTGTTATAAGACTGAACCCTTAAAGTGTGCATTACATGTGTTATTTAATATTTTTAAAGATTTATTTATTTGAAAGAGTTACACAGAGAAGGAGAGGCAGAGAGGGAGGGATGGGAGAGAGAGAGGGAGAAGGAGAGGGAGAGGGAGGAAGGGAGGGAGGGAGAGGGGTCTTCCATCTGCTGGTTCAGTCCCTAGTTGGCCACAATGGCCGGAGCTGCAGCGATCCGAAGCCAGGAGCCAGGAGCCTCCTCCAGGTCTCCCACATGGGTGCAGGGGCCCAAGGACTTGGGCCATCTTTCACTGCCTTCCCAGGCCATAGCAGAGAGCTGGATTGAAAGTGGAGCAGCTAGGTCTCAAACTGATGTCCATATGGAATGCCGGCACTGCAGGCAGTGGCTTTACCCACTATGCCACAGTGCTGACCTCACATTTTTTAATTTAACACTCTAAATTAGCCACTGTTATTATTTCATGTGGAAACTGAGGCTCTACAGTGTTTTCCATGTCATCTCATGATGTAGGGATTCAGTCTGCCTCCAGAGATTGGTCATTGCAGCCCCAGCTTCCTAGAGGTGCAGCAACAATGGGCAAGGGCATGGGATGTGGGAGGAAACCAGAAGTGCTTGTTTTTATAGTGAAAATGGTGTGTCCTTCATAAAATGCCTTTGAAGAAATAGCACCAGTGTCAAATTGCCTGTCCTGGTTTCCCATCATAGCCCTTCTGATACTCACTGCCAGAGGCTTGGGGACCTGAAAACCAGATTATAATCCATCTAAATCCTAGTGGTTATTACCCGTGGGGGGAGCTAATGTGTTACTGCTACAGGCTGTTTTCCCTATCGATGTGGAGAATAGGTTGACTGAATGGAACACAATGGCGCTCCATTGTTTCCCTAGAACTGGTCTGTGAGCTAGGCCTTTCTGCCCTTGAATTAAATCTCACTCAGTTCCCATAACCTTTCCACTCACTCTTGGATGATTTTTAGGAGTTCAGTTTTTGTCATTAAAAAAGCCCCATTTCGGCCGGCGCTGCGGCTCCCTAGGCTAATCCTCCGCCTGTGGCGCCAGCACCCCGGGTTCTAGTCCCAGTTGGGGCGCTGGATTCTGTCCCGGTTGCCCCTCTTCCAGTCTAGCTCTCTGCTATAGCCAGGGAGTGCAGTGTAGGATGGCCCAAGTGCTTGGGCCCTGCACCTGCATGGGAGTCCAGGGGAGGCACCTGGCTCCTGGCTTTGGATCAGCGCAGTGCGCCGGCCGTAGCGCATTGACCGGGGTGGCCATTGGAAGGTGAACCAACGTTAAAGGAAGACCTTTCTCTGCCTGTCAGAAAAAAAAAAAAAAAGGCAGCCCCATTTCACATTTAAAGTGTCCAGTCAAGAGGAATCTCTGCAACTCCAAACTGCCTTGAACGTTAAAGCTTTAGGCACAGAACCATAAGTGGGGAGGGCCTCAGGTTCCCTTTCCATATCTCCACCCCTACTTGACTCTGTTTCTGACCTAATCAATATCAGGACTGGGGAGGGAGGATCAGGGACAAGGGCACAGTCTTATAGGGCCAAGACTCCATTAAGGCTCTGAGGTGGAAATGTGGAATCACTGATCCGTTGTTTCTCTGGTGACTTGAGCAACATTCTGGAGATGACTGAGAGTAACCATATATGGTTGGTCTCTCAGTGCAGGAACCCATCCTTTAAGGTTCACCTACCTGTCCCCGTACAACTTCGTGTGTATATGTATCTTCATCTGCTAGTGTACTCCTCAAATAGCTACAATGCCCGAGGCCAGGCCAGACCAAAGCCAGGAGCCAGGAATTCCATCTGGGTCTCCCATGTTGCTGGCAGTGCCCAAGCTCTGAGGCCATCTTATGCTGTTTTCACAAGTATATTATCAGGGAGGTGAAATTGGAAGTAGAGCAGCTAGAACTTGAACTGGCCCTCATGTAGGATGCCTGTGTTGCAGTTGGTGGCTTAACCCACTGTACTACAACACGACCCCTTCATTGTGTGTGTGTGTGTTTTAAGATTTGTTTGAAAAGTAGAGTTAACAAAGAAGAGGGGATGAGGGTGGGGGAGATAGAGGTCGTCTGTTTGTTGGTTTAATCTCCCAGGACTGGGCCAGGTGGGAGCCAGGAGTTTATTCTGGGTCTCCTACATGGTATAGGGACCTAAGCACTCAGTGCATCTTCTGCTGCTTTCTGAGGCACATTAGAAGGAAGCAGGATTGGAAGTGGAACAGCTGGGACTTGAACCAGCGCCCAAATGGGATGCCAGCATTTCAAGCAGCAGCTTTACCTGCTACACCATGACCCCAGCCCCCCCATGATTTTGATTTGCATTTCTCTGATGGCATTTTTCCATACAGTTCTTGGCCGTTTATATTTCTTTTAAGAACTGTCTATTCAGATCCTTTGCCATTTCTTAGTATAGGATGCTGTCATTTAAGGTTCACCTACCTGTCTGCAAACAGCTCTCCTTTACGTGTATACTATAGTTTTCTAATATTTTTCTAAATTAATTACAAAGGTAAACTTGTTCATAGTTCAGTTATTTCAGAAATGTATAATTTGGAAAGCAACATACTCTTCCATAACCATTATCTTCCTCTATCATTTTCAAAGTTGTCCCTTTGGAAGATAGATATTTACTTAAATTATGGTACTGTTTCTTCAGGAATTTTTTCATTTTGGTATTTGAATTCATAATGTTTCATGGGATTCAGTGTTCAAAAAGTATGAAAGGATTAAAAAAAAAAAAGATTTCCACACTTGGCCTGGGCATTTTTTCTAAAGGACCCAATGTATTTTTCCTAGCCTGTTGTATGTCATTTTGTTCAAGAATATGGAGCCCACAATGTGGAGTTAGAGCATGCGACTTAGACCTTGGCTCTACCACTTGCTGTGTGTGAAATGGAAACATTAGTTAACTCTCTGTACCTCTGGTTATTTTTTTTCCTGTAAGTTGGGAACAATAATTGTGCAGTAGAAGCACTTCTATTCAACAGTATCTGGTCTGATCATTAGTCTGCTAATATAGAAAGTTAAAATGAGGGCTAAGGAAAAATGACATGTATACTCTACAAGTTAGCTTTTAATGCCTAATTAAAACCATCTAAAACTCAGTGTCTTAAACAAATACTTACTGTCTCCTATTGTGTATGATGGCTAGGTGGTTCCTCTGGCCTGCGCCTGCTTGACTGCACCAGATGGTCTAGCATGGCTTCATTCATTTTTCTAGAGTCTCACCAGGAACGACTTGGGTTTCTCTTAATGTGGTTGCATGCCTTTAAGGAGGCTAGCTGGAGTATTTCCCATGATGCAGATGGGTTATTAGCTGCAACAGAGGGCAGAGCTGCAAAACACAAAACCTTTTCAATGTTCCCCCAGGGTTATGTTGGCTACTGTTCTGTTGGCTGAAGAAAATCACGTGATCAGGTCCAGATTTAAGATGAGAGAAGGAAACAAATTTTACCCTTTGTTGGAGAGGTGCAGCTAAGTTGCATTGCATAGGGACCTGCAAATAGGATTGGAAGGAGTATTGTATTTTTTTTTTAAGATTTATTTATTTATTTATTTGAGAGACAGAATTATAGACAGGAGGAAAGACAGAGAGAAAGGTCTTCCATCTGCTAGTTCACTCCCCAAATGGCCACAACTGCTGGAGTTGAGATGATCTGAAGCCAGGAGCTTCTTCTGGATCTCCCATGTGGGAGGAGGGTGCCCATGCACTTGGGCCATCTTCTGCTTTCCCAGGTCATAGCAGGGAGCTGGATTGGAAGAGGAGTACCATATGGGGGTCCAGGCACATCAGGTGGTGGCTTTGCCTGCTATGCTGCAATGCCAGCCCCTGTGGTGTTGGTTTTTTAAAACAGTGTACCACACACTTACTTCATGTATTTTAATTTAAAATTCATTCACCTTTGACACAGACATCTTTTGTTTGAAGATACTTCAGTTAACTAGATTCTGTTTTTTAATTTACTTAATTTTTATTATTTTTTAAATTTTATTTATTTTGAAAGGCAGAGTTAGAGAGAGGGAGGGAGGGAGAGAGAGAGAGAGAGAGAGAGAGACTGATCTTTCATCCACTGGTTCACTCACCAAATGGCCACAGTGGCCAGGGCTGGACCAGGCTGAAGCCAGAAGCCAAGAGCTTCTTCTGGGTCTCCCACATGGGTGCAAGGGTCCAAGCACTTGGGCCATCTTCTGCTGTTCTGCCAGGTGCATTAGCAGGGAGCTGGATCAGAAGTGGAGCAGCTGGGTCTGGAACTAGTGCCCATATAGGATGCCATTACTGCAGGCTGTGGTTTTACCCGCTGCACAACAGCACTGGCTTCTCTTGCTTATTTGACCATCCAAATAAATCAGCTATGATTTCTAAATTTTGTTTCTTCCTTTTAACTTTATTTATTTGAAAGAGTTAGAGAGAGAGACCCAGCAAGAGAGAGAAAGATCTTCTACTTACTGATTCACTCCCCAGATGGCCACATTGGCCAGGTCTAAGTCAGGCTGAAGTTGGGAGCTTCTTCTGGGTCTCCCACATAGGTGGCAGGGGTGCAAGCACTTGGGCTATCTTCTGCTGTTTTTCCCAGGCTGTTAGCATGGAACTGGATCAGAAGTGGAGCAGCCAGGCCTCAAACTGGTATCTATGGGGTGCTGGAGTTGCAGGTGGCAGCCCCACCTGCAGTGCCACGTGCTGGCCCCTAATTTTTGTTTCTTTAAAGCAGAATAAGAATTTAAAATCCTTGGGAGAGAGAATCTGAATGAGGAATCTACCTTGAATTTTATATTCCTCCTGTCCCCACACCTAATCCACTTGAAGTTTTTTTTTTATTTTTTTTTATTTTATTTTTTATTTTATTTTTTATTTTTTTTAACAGGCAGATTGGACAGTGAGAGAGAGAGACAGAGAGAAAGGTCTTCCTTTGCCGTTGGTTCACCCTCCAATGGCCACCGCGGCTGGCGCGTTGCGGCCGGCGCACCGCGCTGATCCGATGGCAGGAGCCAGGAGCCAGGTGCTTTTCCTGGTCTCCCATGGGGTGCAGGGCCCAGGCACATGGGCCATCCTCCACTGCACTTCCTGGCCACAGCAGAGAGCTGGCCTGGAAGAGGGGCAACCGGGACAGAATCTGGCGCCCCAACCGGGACTAGAACCCGGTGTGCCGGTGCCGCTAGGCAGAGGATTAGCCTAGTGAGCCGCGGCGCCGGCCCACTTGAAGTTTTTTAATCTGTCTTCATTGAGTCTTTGAAAACATTTGACTTAGTTTTCTTGAAAATGGCATAGATTTTTAGTTTCACTCAGATGTTAGAAATTTAAGCAACATTTAATGATGTTGCAGAATTACAATAACAAATATAGTTAACCCAATTTAGAGAACAAGTACCACTGATTCCTAGTGACTATTCAGATCACGGGTGGGTGCCCTGGATTAATCCACAGCCAAAGCATCAGTCAGTGTGTTTCTCCGAGAGCATCCAGGGTCTTGATTTACTGGAAGTTGTTTCGGAGCTTCTGTTGTTCCTGGCTAGTAGGAGTGTTGTGAAGATTAAATGTGAAAATGCCCCTAAAGTACTTAGAACACTTGCCTAGCTCCTGGTAAGTGTCCAGTGATTGTCAGTTGTTGTTATCATTGTTATGATCATTCGTGTTACTTTTATTTAGCCCAAGGAAAGACCTTGGAATAGGGAAGCATGAAAAGGACATAAAGTGCCTGCCCCAGTGGTAACATCAAGTGAAATTGAGGGGGAGGAGTTGAGGTGGGAAGGGAACGTCAAACCAGGGAATTATAAAACTCATATGAGCAGATCCAGAAAATGGAGCTCTGGAAAATGGATGATTTGGGCAAGGATCTTAGGGATGGAAGTATGTAAGTAAGGGAGAATTATACTTTAACATACTTCTTTGAAGCATGACGATTTGACAGTGGTTCCCCAGAGCTGGTTCACGGACTAGTTGCTTCAGCATACCAGGGGAGCATGTTAAAATTCTGATTCTTGGGTCTGTCCTCAGCCCCGGGAATGTGTGTTACTAAAAGCTGCCCTAGTAGATTTGACTACACAGCCAAGTTTGGGAAGCCATACAAGGAAAACATAGAGGTAGGTACTAGAAATCCAGAAACCTGGGGTTTGCGTGTTGGGTCCTGAGTGGACTTGCTGTGTGATTTCTCTGGGACTCCCTCAGACGTGTGTATTGAGAATAAGGAGTGGTGTTCGAGCCCCTGCCTGTGTGAGAGGTAACTGGGAGGAGAGCTGCAGGTGCTCTCCATGTGTGAGACTGCCACCTCAGTCAAGGCTCCTTCACCTGGTCTCTCCTCCCGTCCTGTCCTCCAGCTCTGACAGCAGAGCAAGTGACTGAGCCCATATGATCTAAAATCCCCTTCCAACTTTAAAGTTCTTTACCTGTGGTTGGTTTCATGTTTTGCAGACACCAGGATACTATATGTTCATATGGCTTATCATGGATATTATTTCTGCAACTTTCATTGTTGGCATATTTTGTTTTCACTGGTAAGTATAGTATTACTGGGAATTTTAAGTGACTTTTTTTCCAAAATAAGAGTAATAAATGTTTTCTTATAGAATGTTGAGAAAAAAACTGAGATAACACTTTTCTGGTAATCCCACATTGGAAGATGGGGTTTCGATTATAAGCTACCTGTCTCATGCCTCTTTTGCCTTCCCAAGGTGGTATTCTCAGGGAAAGGACTCTCACTAAAGCTTAGTTAAATCTATTAGTATAGATTTAATGTGAACAGTTAGTTGAAAGAAGGCAGGGCCTGAAGTTTGTCTTAAAGAAATGCATTCATCTTCCTGCCTGCCATGAACTGTAGAGGAGGGTGATTTGCAAAAAGCAAGTTCAGAAACCAGGGGTTTGGTTCCTGTTTTGAACCCTTTCTTGCTGATGACCCTGAGAAAATCATTACCAGTTTCTGGGCCATAGTCTTTTTATCTGTCCAGGAAGATGACATGTGAGAATCCTTGCAGGACAGTACTATGGGATTGCACGTTTCAGGGTGGAAGAGGGAAGGAACATCCTGGAAGAATAATATCAGTTAATGGAAAGCTTGGGTCATTAGGCCCCGTCATTACTTGACGTGTGACTTATCCTTTAAAGGGGAGAAGCACAAACCCTCTTTTCAGGAGAGAGTCTGATTGGATAATGTTTCTTTTTTGGCTACTACCTTGGATTATTATCTAATATAAAAAAAGTATGTGAATTAATGGATGGTCTGCTTCCTTCCAGGCGGAGAGAAATAAGAAAAGAGAAACTCCAAGAAAGTGCTAGCACTCCATCAGGTAAAGTCAAAGGTGAAGTCTGTTCCTTTCTGTCCATCCCTACTAGGGTACTTCTAGGAGACAGGGTGGTATCTGCATTTCATGTCTCTCACAAGAGCTGAGAATGTCTGGGAAGTTGTTGGGAGGATGAAGACCTGGAGAAGGGAGAAGGTAAAAGATACTGTCAGCCCCTTATGTAAATATAGTTTCCTCGTTGGAGGATTCAACCAACCTCAGGTTGAAACTATTTGGGAAAAAATGGTTAAGTTGCTGGTGATATGTCTTAAGCAGTTAGGCTTCCAGTGGTTGTATGAACATGCAAGGCTGTTTTCTTATAATTAGTCATACATTGCTTAAAAATAGGGATACATTCTGAGAAATACATCATTAGGCAGTTTTTGTTGTGTGAACATCATAGAGTGTACTTACCCAAAGGTAGGTGGTATACTCTGTGTGTGTGTGTGTGTGTGTGTGTGTGTGTATACATCATAGTTTATTGCTCTTAGGGGCATGATGAATAAAATAATGTGAGATTACATCAAGCATGAGAGAAAATGATGGAATCAAGACAGTAGGGGCAGGCATTTGGTGGAGTAGTTAAGTCACCACTTGGGATGCTTATGTCTGGTTTGAGTTCTGACTGTCTCTCTTCTGATCTGTACATCCTGGGCAGGCAGCAGATAATAGCTCAAGTACTTGAGTTATTGCCACCTGCACGAGAGATGCAGATGGAGTTTCTGGCTCCTGGCTTTGATCTTGTCCAGCCTTAGCTGTTGCAAGCATTTGGGGAGTGAACCAGTGGGTGAAACATCTCCCTTCTGCCCTACTCTCTCTGTCCTTCTGTTCCTCCTTCCCCTTCTTTCTTTCTCCCTTCCATATCCATTTCTCTTCTGTTCAAATAAAACGTAGACATAGTAATTATAAGATGTATGAGGCTGCTGCCAGTGTAACATAATATACCATTTTATAGCTTTTTTACATTTTTACTTATTTTTTTAAAGATTTATTTTATTTCTTTGAAAGAGTTACAGAGAGAGGTAGAGAGAGAGAGAGAGAGAGAGAATCTTCCATCCGCTGGTTCACTCCCCAGATAGCTGCAATGGCTGGAGCTGCACCAATCTGAAGCTAGGAGCCAGGAGCTTCTTCCAGGTCTGCTACGTTGGTGCAAGGGTCCAAGTACTTGGGCCATCTTCTACCTCTTTCCCAGGTCATAGCAGAGAGTTAGATCAGAAGAGGAGCAGCCAGGACTAGAACCAGCGCCTTTATGGGATGCCAGCACTTCAGGCCAGGGCTTTAACCCACTGTGCTTATAGCACTGGCCCCAGCTTTTTTATTTGCTTTTAAAGAACAAGGAATATACTCTCAAATAGTAATGAAAAGTATAGAGGCAAAAGTTTGGCCTAACAGTTAAGCCATTGGTTGGCATGCTAGCATCCCACTTTGGAGCATCTAGTATCAAATCCTGGCTCCACTTCTAGTTCCTACTTCCTGACTCTAATAGTTGGATCTCAGCTACCTAAATGGGAGCCTGAACTGCATTCCCAACTCTCAGGTTAAGACTGACTCAACTCTGGCCATTTGGGGAGTGAACCAAAGCTATTTCTGTCCTCTATCTGTCTCTCACATAAAAAAATTAAAATAGCACAGTCAATATATAAACCACTAACATGCTCTTTATTATCAAGTATTTTCTGTGATGAATAATTTTATGTTCTATATTTTTATATGACTGGCAGTGCACAGGTTTGCTTATACCAGCATCACTGCAAACACATGAGTAATGCATTGTACTACATACAACAGATATGAGTCACTAGGTTATAGGAAATTTTTCAGTTCTATTATAATCTTATGGGACCACCATTATATATAGTTCATTTTGAGACACAAGACTGTATTTCTTAATACAGTGTAGCATTTTTACATAGCATTTATATTGTATTAGGCATATAAGTACTCCAGAGATGATGTGTTATATATATATGTAAGTTAGATATCCATATTATATACATATATATATATGGGACTGGAGCACCCACAGATTTCAGTATTTGCAGATTTTGGTATCTTAGACTCCCACAGATGTGGAAGGCTGACTGTATGGGTTGGGCACAGCTTCTGGATGACCCTTTGATCAACCTTCAAACCTGGGACTTCATCATCCAAGCAGAGAGATCCCTTGGAAGATTACAAGCATGGGTATTTATTTGTTCACTTCCTCAGACATTCATCCATCACAGTTATTTAGTACCCACTGTATTCCAGGTATACAGTAGGAGTTGTAGGTAACTGAAAGCTATCCAAGAGACAGGAGGACTGGACTGCAGGAGCAGTGAGGAAGCAGGCAAAAGTAGCATTGACATCAGTGGGCCAGACTCCTCGGTGCAGGACAGACTAAGTACCATGGCCATTAGGGCTGACGGTGCTTTATGGAGCTTCAGTTATTGGTGACATATGTTGAAGAGTGAAGGAAGAAACCTGCTTAAGTCCGAGAATGCTGGGCTAGGGACTAGTCTCTGCATGTATGCCATCAGGAGGTGGCCGGTGAGTTTAAAACAAGGGAGTGACATAGACAGATTTCTCTGTAAAGGGAAGGACATTTTTTATTCAATTAAATAACTCAGGGTTAAGGAAGTGCGATAGACCCAGCAAGAGAAGGTAAAGCTGGAGTTCATTTCTTAGAATGTTCTGGGGGAGAATCACACAGTGAGTGACTAGTTTGGGAACCAGTGTCAAAGAGAAAAATTAGGAGACAGATGACTGTGCAGAATGGATTATGGTTCCCTTCCACAGCTCTGGAACTTTAAGTAAAGTTGGTGCAATCACAAAGCCATGAGTTAATGGAGTTTCCTGTGTACAATGGTGAGGAGCCTAAAATTCCATATACCTGGTGGCAAGAGTTGAAATGATACACCACTTAGGGTTGCAGGAATGGATCCACAGGGACCTTGGAAAAATATGCTAGGAAATTTGAATAAATCAAATGAAGGTCAGTGGTCTTTCATATGCTATGAAATGAAAGGTTTATGCCAAGTTTACTCCAATCTATAAGTGGCAGGGAGATCTCAGATTTTAACTGAGTTAAATAAAGATGCTGTACTTTCTATATAAAGAAGTTTGAAGGCTGTATTCCTTCTACCTTATTTTTGATTATCAGTAGTTGTATCAGTAAGTTAGGGCTGTTACAACGAAGTGCCACAGATTGGGTGCCTTAAAAAATAGAAATTTATGTTCTCACAGTTCTAGAGTGCTGACAGATTTGATTCTTTATGAGGGCTTTATCAGTAGCTTGTAGACAGTTGCCTTCTTGCTATGCCCTCACATGACCTTTCTCTTGTGTGTTCTTGGCGAGAGAGATCTCTGCTGTCTCTTCCTCTTCTTATAAGGACACCTTTCCTATTGGATTAGGGCCCCACCCTGTTGACCTCATTTAGCCTTACTTGTCTCTTTAAATTAAGGGTCAGGGTTTCTACATGTGAATTAGGGGGTAACTCACCTTATAACAATAATTCATTCAAGAAATGACTAGAACATGGACATAGCTTGGATGAGAAAGGAATTTTGAAGGAAAATTTAAAGAACTGAATAAATTTGGATGAAGGAGGTGGCTGTATACCTTAGACAGTATTCCATTAATTTAATCCCACCACTATAAGGTTGAAATGGTTACAAGAATGTAAGGGGTATGTTGGAAATAAATTTTAAAAGTTCCCCAATTTTTTTAAAGGTTTAAATCTTGTTTGAAAGACAGAGTTACACAGAGCAGGAGACATAGAGAAAGACAACTTCCATTTGCTGGTTCACTCCCCAAATGGCTGCACCTGCCAGTGCTGGGCCAGGCCCAAACCAGGAGACAAGCTTCTTCCAGGTCTCCTAGGTGGGTGGCAAAGGCCCAGGCACATGGGCCATCTCATTCTTTTGCTGACACACTATCAGTGAGCTGGATTGGAAGTACAGCAGTGGAAACACAAACTTGTGTCCATATGGGATGCCCATGAAGTAGTGGGTTGTCATCTGCAAAGTTGACATCCCACATTAGCTTCAATTTGTGTTCTGAATACACCACGTCCAATCCAGCTGTCTGCTAATGCACCTCAGAAAGCAGCACAAGATGACTTAAGTGCTTGGACCTCTGTCACTTACTTGGGATACCAGGATGAAGCTCCTGGCTTTGGCCTGGCATAGCCTTGGCCATGGCAGCCATTTGGGGAGCAAACCAATGGTGGAAGATCTGTCCATCTCTCCATCTCTCTCTGTAACACTGTCAAATAGATCAATAAGTAAATCTTTTAAAAATTATTCTTAGTTACTTGTTACTGAAAACAGTTTTGCTTGACCTAAGCAGAGAGAAAATACATTGAAAGGCTATTTGGGTACCTCCAAGAGATACCTAGAAAGGTACAGGAGCAAGTTTAGCATCAGAGATGGGAAAAGAAAGACTGGGCAGATCCCTGTACCACAGCAAAAGCCACAGCCAGATCCACTTTGAGGAGAATGGAGCCTCTAAATTTAAACAGTGCCACATCTTGTCTCACCATCACCTCCAGAATGGCCACGTACTCTTGTGCCTGCTGATGCCATGACTTCCAGCAGAAGACATTCATTGCTTCTCTAGCTCAAGAATGCATTTTTCAGAAGTTATTTAATTATTTTAAAAGATTTATCTATGTACTTATTCACTGGAAAGGCAAAATGATAGAGGGAGATAGATCTTTTAGCCACTGGTTCACTTGTCAAATGCTTGGAACAGTCATCGCTGGGCCAAGCTGAAGCCATGAGCCAGGAACACCGGCTGGGTCTCCCACATTGTTGGCAGGGACCCACGTACTTGGGCCATCTTCCACGGCTTTTTTAAACACATCAGCAGGAAGCTGGATCAGAAGCAGAGCTGGGACTCAAACCAACACTCCAGTATATGATGAGGGTGTCCCAAGTGTTGGTTAACCAGCTTTACCACAATGCTTTCCCCCTTTTCAGCAATTTAAAGGCGCCAACCCATTGTCTTCTTTCTTTGTAGTTTCTTATAAAAATTCTTCAGTTTTCATATCTTTCTTTTTGTTATATGTCTTTTTCTTTCCTCTGCTCTTAATATTTTTTCTTATTAATTTTCAGTAATTTGATTGTGCTTTATGTTGGTGTGTATTTGAATGTATGTGTGGATATCTGTGTCCTGCTTGGGGTTCACTGAAATTCTTAGATTTTTCAGAGTAAAATTTTCATCCAATTAGACAAATTTTCAGTCTTTATTTCTCAGAGTGGTTTTTTTTTTTTTTACCCCCCTCTTCATTTTGGAGATTCTAATTACATAGATGTTAGAGAATATTTTTCCCATAGGTTTCTGAGACTCTGTTCATTTTAATTTTTAGCCTGTTTTTTGATATGTAGTCTTATTGTGTGTATTGGTTTTTTATTGCTGTATAAAAAATTAACCTCAAACCTATTGGCTTAAAACAACACAAGTTTATTATTCCATAGGCAAAGGTGAGATGGTCCTCTGCTTAGTCTTTTTTTTTTTTACAGGCAGAGTGGACAGTGAGAGAGAGAGAGACAAAAGAGAAAGGTCTTCCTTTTTCCGTTGGTTCACTCTCCAATGGCCGCCGGGGCCGGCGCGCTGCGACCAGTGCACCGCGCCTATCCGAAGGCAGGAGCCAGGTGCTTTTCCTGGTCTCCCATGGGGTGCAGGGCCCAAGGACTTGGGCCATCCTCCACTGCACTCCCTGGCCACAGCAGAGAGCTGGCCTGGAAGAGGGGCAACCGGGACAGAATCCGTTGCCCCGACCGGGACTAGAACCCAGTGTGCCGGCGCCGCAAGGCGGAGGATTAGCCTAGTGAGCCGTGGCGCCGGCTCTGCTTAGTCTTATCAGGCTAAAATCAGGTGTCTGTTTGGGCTGCAATCTCATTGAGGATTAGGATTCTCTTCCAATCTCACTAATTGTTACTGGAATGAAGTTCCTTGTAGTTGTAGGACTGAAGTCATCTCTGTTTTCTTGATGTTTGTGACAGGGTTTGATTCTGAGCTTCTGGAAGTCATTCTAAGCTCCTAATCACTTGGATGTCTTACAACATGGCAGTTTCCTTCTTCCATACCAGTTAATAGAATATCTCCCCAGTCTGCTGTGATGTAGTGTTACACAATGTCATATAACCATGTAAGCAATTGTCCTGCCACTTTTGTCATGCAACATAGACTAATCAAGGAAGACAGTCTAGCATGTTCATCTTCCTCACCCTATTCAAGGGAAGGAGCTTATTTAAGAGACATAAACCAGAGGTTAAGAATCATGGAGGCTATTCCATACTTTGTCTTCAACTTCACTGATATTTTTTCTATAATATATAATCTGTTAATTTCAACAGGTCAGATTTTCATTTCAGATACTATATGAGTATGTTTGATCTCTACAGGTTACATTTGGTTCCTTGTTAATACTTCCCCTTTGCTCACTGCTTTAATGTTTTCTTTAAATATATGAACAGTTATAATTGTTTTAATATCCTTGTTTGACAATTCAATCATCTCTTTTATTTCTGGGTTTGCTATTAATTGATGCTTTTTCTAGATATAAACCTGTTTCTTAGCATGTGTAGTATCTATCATTTTTTAAACCATAGTACCATAAAGTATTTACTGATTCATTTAAAAATACTTTTGGGGGTGGGAGTTTGGTACAGTGGTTAAGCTGCTGTTTGGGATGCTCACATACTGTATCAGAGTGTCTGGGTTTGGGTCTTGGCTTTTCTCTCCATTCCATGGAGGCATCTGGTAATGGCTGCCACCCATGTGGGAGAACCAAATTTAGTTCCTTACTCCTGGTTCAGCTGTGGCTGTTGTAGACAGCTGGGTAAAGAAACAGCAGATGAGTGATTTCTGTCTCTCTGGCTCCTTTCTTTGATCTGTCTCTCCACTTTCTGTCTGTGTACCTTCTAAATCAATCAAATAGACTTTACTCTAAAACAACCATAAAACAAAACAACAGTAAAAAATGTAGAAATATATTACTTAATACAAATCTCTTTACTTTCTGGATTAATAGATGATAAAAATCCTCAAATCTACTCTTGAATTCAAGCTCTTGTGGTATCACCTGTCATGTGGTATCTGCAAAATTCCACTATACATTGATGAGAGATCCAATTGAAAGCAATAAATAACATTTTAGTAGTATTAAGATAAATTTGGCTTTATAGAACTCTCCTCAAAAAGGTCTCAGAGACTTTGTTGGTTCCTACGTGATACTTTAAGAATAGCTGACCTAAATTTCACATTTATTGGCAAAATGCCATATATAGTGTCCTGTTTTTCTTTAGAACATTCATTATTTTGGGTGATTGAATATCCATTAATAATTTCTTGCCTTATTTTTTAAACTATTTATCAGTCTCATGAGAGGCTTTTCAGTTTTATTGGGTTTTGATAAAAGACACAATTATAAATATTCAAGAAACTCAAGGAACTTCAAATAGAATCAGCTCAAAGAAACCAATACCACTGTATGTTAAAATAAAACTTTTGAAAGGAAAAGAGATGTAGTAGATAAAAGACAAAAACTATAAGGCATATAAAGAACAAATTGCAAAGTGATAGACATCCTTCCTTATTACTAATTATTATAAATGTAAATGGATTAAATTCTCCAAACAAAAGGTGAAGCTTGGCAGAATGGATTAAGAAAACATGACAGCTATATGCTTCCTCCAAGAGATTTGGTTTAAATTCCAAGATACAAATGGATTGAATAGTGAAAGGAAGGGAAAATACATTCTATGGAAATAGTAAGCATGGGCCCTGTGCCGTGGCTCACTTGGCTAATCCTCCGCCTGCGGTGCTGGCATCCCATATGGGCACCAGGTTCTAGTCCCAGTTGCTCCTCTTCCAGTCCAGCTCTCTGCTGTGGCCTGGGAGGGCAGTGGAGGATGGCCCAGGTGCTTGGGCCCCTGCACCTGCATGGGAGACCAGGAGGAAGCGTCTGGCTCCTGGCTTCGGATCGGCGTGGCGCTGGCTGTAGCGGCCAATTGGCAGGTGAACCAACAGAAGGATGACCTTTCTCTCTCACTCTCTGTAACTCTATCTGTCAAATAAATAAAAAATCTTAAAAAAAAGAAATAGTAAGCAAAAGCAATGATTGTTATACTTGTTATATATGTTTTTCTTTATGAAGAATTTTAAAATTAAAGTCTGTTAACACAGACAAAATAGACTTTAATTTTAAAATTCTTCATAAAGAAAAACATATGATTGATCCATGAATCTATAAAACTCTACTGAGAAAAAAAGACTCAAATAATTGGAGTAATATATCATGTTCATGAACATAATGTCATAAAGATATTAGTTGTTGACAAAAAATAAAGCTCCTGTGTAGCAGCTGTTTTTTCAGATTGAATTATACTCATTATATTATTTGAATTATATTCAAAATAATTTTGAATTCTGACCTTACAACACTGGGTTCTCATTTTCTTCTAGATTTTGCCCCATAGTTACTCACCATATTATTAACTCTTACATAATTTTACAATGTTTTCTTGTTTTGGTACATCATCTAGTTTTTAAAATTTCTGTTTGATGAGATTGGTCTCAATTTCCTAGCTCTGTTATTAGAAGTCTCTACTGTCTTTTTTTTTTCCTATAAGTCAGACAAAAACTATTTAGCACTTAGTGTGAGAAACACTTCTGAGGGTTGCTTGCAGTGGCAAGCTAGACAAAGTTTCTATCCTCAAGAAACTCCCATTCTAACTGAGGCTGTGTTCCTTTTTCTCTTGAAACTTATTTGTAACCAAACAGCAATTATGTAAGCTTTTGCCTTTTGAGGGCTTCTATGGTGAACTATAGCCTCACACCAGAGTCTTAAGCCCAAGCCCCAAGCTCAACAGGAAGACCTTAATAAAGTTTGCACTAAGACTGAGAATAGAGGGGAGAGCTTGGAGAAAAGAACTTAGCAAGGTGAGTGATAATCTGTCATTTGAGAGATGACTTGGATTTCAGACATGACTGGCAGAGGCAGTAACATTTGAGGATTTGTGTTTCTGTCTTTTCTATCCCACAGATGTTCATAGCATAAACCTCCCAAAGGAAAAAACTGAGACTGGAGAAGCTCTGCACTTATCTGTAAAACCTCCTTCCAGAGTTACGGAAAGCCCTTGGACTCTATCAGCCCTCCACCCAGCTTTAAACGAGGATGTAAATAAATACCCAGGCACTTTCCATTCTTCATTAGCCCCCAGGAAGAAACCAGTGCTTGTCAAGAATACTGTCACTCCACTAATACCTGCCAAGTTTGATGTTCAATCAGTGGTGCCTAGCGGGGTCTCTGAACACACCCAAGCATCCATCCGGGAGTCCACCAGCAGTACTGACATCCAAAGTACATTGCCCACATTGAAGGTGGATGAATCAGTGCCCCCCATAGAGATTCCCATTGCTGAAACCTCCAGTGAATCCTTTGTAACGCTGTATTCTACCTCGTCCAATGGATCCTATGACATGTCAAAGAAGAGTTAACCACACCTTACCTTCTCTTCCCCTTTCTCTCTCAGCCCAAGTGGAGGGGATGGCCAAAAAAGACATGCATAAGTGCTGTTGAGGCTCTCAGGAGAACCATGCTAGTTATACCTTTTCATAAAAATGTATCTCAAGGGCATAGGCAGAAGGGAAACAGTTCTGTGTGGTATAGGACCTGGAGCTAGTTGCTCTGTGGGTACTGCAGGGTTTGTCCGATTGTAATACTTCTGTAGTATCTGCTGATAAATTAGTGACTGTTGAACATCCTCATGCCAATAAAGGCAACCTCTTGGGAAGCCAATAGGTATATGTAGTTTTTGGTGTCTTCTCTGATCACTCAGGCTGATGAAAACAGGGGATGAGTACAATAGTGATGCCCTCCTAAGTGTCAGAAAATGAAGTTTCATGGGCACAAGTTGGGGTCAAAAATTTCATTCCACACGCACATTTTCTTTTTTTAGAAAGCTTTTATTTAATAAATATCAACTTCATAACTACAGCTTTTGGATTATAGTGGTTTTCTCCCCATACCCCTCTTTCCCTCACTCCCATCCCACCTCCTACTCCCTCTCTCATCCCATTCTTCATTAAGATTCATTTTAATTAACTTTATATACAGAAGCTCAACTCTATACTAAGTAAAGATTTCAACAGTTTGCACCCACACAGACACAAAGTATGAAGTACTGTTTGAAGACATGTTTTACTGTTAATTCTCATAGTACAACTCATTAAAGATAGGTCCTACCTGGGGAGCAAGAACACAGTGACTTCTGTTGTTGATTTAATAATTGACACTCCTTAACTATGATGTCAGTGATCACCCAAGGCTCTTCTCATGAGCTGCCAAGGCTGTGGAAGACTTTTGAGTCCACAGATTCCAACGTTATTTAGACAGGGCCATAATCAAAGTAGAAGTTCTCCCTTCAGAGAAAGATAACTCCTTCTTTGATGGCCCCTTCTTTCCACTAGGATCTCACTCACAGAAATCTTTGATGTAGGTCATTTTTTTGCCACAGTGTCTTTGCTTTCCATGCCTGAAATGCTCTCATGGGCTTTTTAGCCAGATTCGAATTCCCTAGCGGCTGATTCTGAGGCCAGAGTGCTGTTTAAGACATTTGTCATTCTATGAGTCTGCTGTGTGGCCTGCTTCCCATGTTGGATCATTCTCTCCTTTTTAATTCTATATTATTATTAGCCTTCACTTATTCCTATCTTTATGCTCAGTTATGCACTTAAAACAAAAACTTCACCTAGTAAGATGGATTGGTACCTGTCAACATAATGGGATTTGGAGTCCCATGGCAAGTTTTTAGCTTTACCCTTAGGGGTAAGTCAGTGGGAATGTGTGCCAAACTGTACATATCCTCCCTCTCTTATTCCTACCCTTATTTTTAACAGGGATCAGTTTTCAATTGATTTAAATACCTAAGAAAAATTATGTGTTAAGTAAAGAGTTCAACTAATGATATTAAGTAGAAAAAGAAAATATTAAAAAGAATAAAATAGTAAGATGTTCCTTGATAGGACAAGGGCTGATCAAGTCATTGCTTCTCATAGTGTCAGTTTCACTTCTACAGGTTTCCTTGTAGGTGCTCAGTTAGTTGTCACATATCAGGGAGAACTATGATATTTGTCCCTTTGGGACTGGTTTATTTCAATCAGCATGATGTTTTATAGATTTCTCCATTTTGTTGCAAATGACCTCATTCCATTTTCTACCACTGTATAGTATTCCATAGAGTATATATCCCATAATTTCTTTATTCAGTCTTCCGTTGATGGCCATTTAGGATGATTCCATTTTAGCTATTATGAATTGAGCTACAATATATATTTGCTGATTTAATTTACATTGGGTAAATACTGAGGAGTGGGATGGCTAGGTTGTGTGGTAGGACTCCAATCAGATTTCTGAGGTGTCTTCAAACTGTCTTCCATAGTGGCTTTACCAGTGTGTATTCCCACCAACAGGGAGTTAGTGTGCCTTTATCCTCACATCCTTGTCAGCTTTTGTTGTTTGTTGATTTCTGTATGAAAGCCATTCTAACTGGAGTGAGGTAAAACCTCATTGTGGTTTTGATTTGCATTTCCCTGATGGCTAGTGATCCTAAACATTTATTCATGAGTCTGTTGGCCGTTTGGTTTTCCTCTTTTGAAAAAGGTATGTTTAGGTCCTTGGCCCATCTCTTAAGTGGTTGTTGCTATGGAGTATCTTGATCTCTTTGTAGATTCTGATTATTTTTTTTTGACAGGCAGAGTGGACAGTGAGAGAGAGAGACAGAGAGAAAGGTCTTCCTTTTGCCATTGGTTCAGCCTCCAATGGCCGCCGCGGCCAGCGCACTGCGGCCAGCGCACCGCGCTGATCCGAAGCCAGGAGCCAGGTGCTTCTCCTGGTCTCCCATGGGGTGCAGGGCCCAAGCACTTGGGCCATCCTCCACTGCACTCCCTGACCACAGCAGAGAGCTGGCCTGGAAGAGGGGCAACCGGGACAGAATCCGTTGCCCCGACCAGGACTAGAACCCAGTGTGCCGGCACCGCAAGGTGGAGGATCAGCCTAGTGAGCCACAGCGCCAGCCGATTCTGATTATTAATCCTTTATCAGTTGCATAGTTTGCAAATAATTTCTCCCATTCTGTCAGTTGCCTCTTCACTTTCCTGTTTCTTTTCCAGTATAGAAAATTCTCTATTTGATGTAATCCCTTTTGTTAATTTTGGCTTTGGTTGCCTGTGCCTCTGGGGTCTTTTCCAAGAAGTCTTTGCCTGTGCCAATATCTTGCAGGGTTTCTCTAATGTTCTCTAATAATTTGATAGTGTTGGGTCATTGATTTAGATCCTTAATGCATGTTGAGTTGATTTTTGTATAAGGTGTAAGTTAGGGGTCTTGCTTCATACTTAGCCATGTGGAAATCCAGTTTATCCAGCACCATTTGTTGAATAGACTGTCCTTGCTCCAGGAATTGGTTTTAGCTCCTTGATCAAATATAAGTTGGTTGTAGATGTTTGGATTCTTTTCTCGTGTTTCTATTCTTTTCTATTGGTCTATCTGTTTCTGTACCAGTACCAGGCTGTTTTGATTATAACTGCTCTGTAGTATATCTTGAAATCTGGTATTGTGATGCCTCCAGCTTTGTTTTTGTTGTACAAAATTGCTTTAGCTATTCGAGGTCTCCTGTGCTTCAATATGAATTTCAGCATCATTTTTTCCAGATCTGAGAAGAATGTCTGCTGTTTTGATTCGTATTGCATTGAATCAGTAAATTGCTTTTGGAAAAATGGACACTTTGATGATATTGATTCTTCTAATCCATGAACATATTTCCATTTTTAATATATTCTATTTCTTTCTTTAATGTTTTGTCATTCTCATCATAGAGCTCTTTGAAGTCCTTGCTTACATTTATTCCAAGGTATTTGATTTTTTTTGTAGCTATTGTGAATGGGATTAATCTTAGAAGTTCTTCCTCAGCCTTGGCATTATCTATGTATACAAAGGCTATTGATTTTTGTGTATTTTTTTTTTGAGAGAACACCTGACAAAGTCTTTACTTTTAAATGATCATCTGTATACCAAGTAATAGTATGTAATAAGTTCTTAAATTCTATCATCTAGTAATTTTGATTAAGAATCTAAAATCAGCCTAAACAATTATATAAGTAATTCATTGCTTTTGCCTGTAGAATAGACATTAAGGCTGGCTGCTGCTTCACACAAGTTACAAGAAACTATTTACTACTTTTTCGTAGACAAAGCCCCTGACCTTCAAGAAAGCATAGGTGAAAAAATTGTTAAATCCCTTTCTTCCTTCAAAGAATTGTGTTTTTTTCTACTAGATCTAAGATAGAAAAAATCTGCACTGACATATGTGTTGCTTGGTCTAAAAGGCACAGGAAAACACACGACATACTTATTAAATATCTCTAAGAAATACAAAGTGAAAAGATGAACTCTTTGGATAAGTTCTAAGTATGTACAAAGAAGCTAATGAGTGAAGGTCCTCCTATGAAACACACAGAAGTAATTTAATGCCTCGTCATGAGGGTAGAGCATGAGCTTTGCTGAAGCTTCATGCTCCACGAGAGCATCTAAAACGCCCAGCCGTGGAACAAGGGCAGCTTTCTTCTGTCCATTTATGCGGTAGTTTTCATGGATTTCTGGCTGGATGTCACAGACAAAGGCCAAGAGGTTATCCAAGACTTTATCCCTGTCCTGCTGGAAGTAGGTCTGCAGGATGGTCATCTTCTCCTGGGTCTCCTTCTCTACTTCACTGCTGCAACTGCCATGGGATCCCAGTGCCACAGCTTCCTTGGACTTGAACTCCTTCTCCGTCTGCCGGCGGTACTGTTCAATTTCAGCCTGTGCTGCTTCTTTGGCCTGCTTTAGCCTCTGATTCTTTGACTTGTGGGACTCTGACACCTTCTCCGTCACCCTCTTCTCAGCCTGCAGCAGCCACTGGATCTCCTGCAACTGGCTGGCCATGGCAACTGGCACTCTCAATATTTGTGTATCGACTTATATCCTGCGACTTTACCAAATTCTTCTATGAGTTCCAATAGTCTCTTAGTGGAGTTCTTTGGATCCCCTAAATAAAGAATCATGTCATCTGCAAATAGGGATAGTTTGACTTCTTCCTTCCCAGTTTGTATCATTTTGATGTCCTTTTCTTTCCTGGTGGCTGTGGCTAAAACTTCCAGCACTACATTGAATTGCAATGGTGGGAGTGGGTATCCTGGTATGGTACCGGATCTCAATGGGAATACTTCCAACCTTTCCCTACTTAATATAAAGTTGGCTGTGGGTTTGTCATAAATGACATTGATTGTGTTGAGGAATGTTCTTTCTATACCCAATTTGCTTAAAGTTTTCATCTGGAAGGGTGTTATATTTTATCAAATGCTTTCCCCAGTATCTATTGAGATAATCATATGGTTTTTGTTCAGCAGTTTGTTAATGTGGTGTATCACATTGATTGATTTGCGAACATTGAACCATCCCTGATACCAGGGATAAATCCCACTTGCTCTAGGTGGATGGTCTTTCTGATGTGTTGTTCGATTCTATTGGTTAGAATTTTGTTGAGAATTTTTGTGTATATGTTCATCAGGGAAATTGGTCTGTAATTCTTTTTCTCTGTTGTATCTTTTTCAGGTTTAGGAATTAAGGTGATGCTGGCTTCATAGAAAGAATTTGGGAGGATTCCCTCCCTTTCAATTGCTTTGAATAGCTTGAGAAGAATTGGACTTAGTTCTTCTTTAAACATCTGGTAGAATTCAGCAGTGAATCCATCTGGTCCTGGGCTTTTCTTTGTTGGGAGGGCCTTTATTACTGTTTCAATTTCTGTCTCAGTTATGGGTCTGTTTAGGTTTTCAATGTCTTCCTGGTTCAATTTAGGTAGGTTGCATGTGTCCAGGAATCTATCCATTTCTGCTAGATTTCCCATTTTGTGGCATACAATTCTTTATAGTAATTTCTGACGACTCTTAATTTCTGTGCTGTCTGTTGTCACATTTTCTTTTTCATCTCTAATTTTATTTATTTGGGCCTTCTTTCTCCTTTTTTTTGTTAGTTGGGCCAATGGTGTGTCAATTTTTTTTTTATTTTTTCAAAAAACCAGCTCTTTGTTTTGCTGATCTTTTGTATTTTTAATTCAATTTTGTTGATTTCTTCTCTAATTTTAATTATTTCTTTTCTCCTATTAGTTTTCTGTTTGGTTTGCTGTTGTTTTTCTAGATCTTTGAAATGCATTGATAGCTCATTTATTTGGTATGTTTCTAATTTCTTGTTGTATCTCCTGTTGCTATAAACTTTCTTCTTAACCCTGCTTTTGCTGTATCCCATAAGTTTTTTTTTTCTGACTGGCAGGGTTAGACAGAGAGAGAGAGAGAGACAGAGAGAAAGGTCTTCCTTCTGTTGGTTCACCCGCCAAATGGCTGCTATGGCCGGCGCGCTGTGCCGATCCAAAGCCAGGAGCCAGGTGCTTCTCCTGGTCTCCCATGGGGTGCAGGGCCCAAGCGCTTGGGCCATCCTCCACTGCCTTCCTGGGCCACAGCAGAGAGCTGGACTGGAAGAGGAGCAACCAGGACAGAACTCGGCGCCTCAACTGGGACTAGAATCCGGGGTGCTGGCGCTGCAGGTGGAGGATTATCCTAGTGAGCCATGGCGCTGGCCTTCCCATAAGTTTTGATATGTTGTCTTGCCATTTGTTTCCAGAAAGTTTTTGATTTCTCTTTTGATTTATTCTATGACCCACTTTTCATTCAGGAGCATGTTGTTCAGTCTCCAGGTTTGCATATGCTCTAGAGATTCCTGAGTTGCTGATTTCCAGCTTTATTCCACTGTGGTCTGAAAAGATGCATAGTATGATTATGATATTTTTGAATTTTCTGAGACTTGCTTTATGGCATAGTATGTGATCAATCCTAGAGAAAATTCCATGCACTACTGAGAAGAATGTGTATTCTTCAACTATAGGATGAAAAGTTCTGTAGATACCTGTTAGGTCCCTTTGGTCTGTAGTGTCTATTCAGTCTGCTGTTTCCTTGTTTATTTTCTGTCTAGTTGATCTGTCCATTGCTGAAATTGGAGTATTGAAGTCCCCCAAACCTATTGTATAGGAATATAAGTCTCCCTTTAAATCCCTTAACATATTTTTTAAATAGCCTGGTGCCCTGTAATTAGGTACATATATGTTTATAATAGTTACATCTTACTTTTGATTTGATCCCTTTTTCATTATATAGTGCTCTTCTTTGTATCTTTCTCTCTTTTTTAAAGATTTATGTATTTATTTAAAGTCAGAGTTACACAGAGAAGGAGAGGCAGAGAGAGAGAGAAAGAAAGGTCTTCCATCCACTGATTCACTCCCCAGTTGGCCACAGCAGCTGGAGCTAGGCCGATCTGAAACCAGGAGCATGGAGCTTCCTCCAGGTCTCCCACGTGGGTGCAAGGGCCCAAGGACTTGGGCCATCTTCCACTGCCTTCCCAGGCCATAGCAGAGAGCTGGATTGGAAGTGGAGCAGCCAAGAACTGAACCAGAGCCCATATGGAATGCCAACACTGCAGGCAGTGGCTTTACCTGCTATGCCACAGCACCAGCCCCCTTTCTTTGTCTCTTTAAATAGTTTTTGTGTTAAAGTATGTTTTGTCTGATATTAACCTCTCTTTTGGTTTCTGCTGGCATGGAATATCTTTTTCCATTCTTTCACTTTCAGTCTGTGTGCATCGTTGTTAGTTCGATATGTTTCTTGTAGGCAGCAAGTAGATGGGTTTTGTTTTTTAATCCATTCAGCCAGTCTGTGCCTTTTAACTGGATGAGTTGAGGCTATTTACATTCAATGTGACTATTGATAAGTAATGACTTTGCCCTGCCATTTTTCCAAAGATATTCCTAATTTATACTTTGAACTTCCTTTGATCTTTTACTGAGAGATTTTCTTCCTTTACTTTCTTTCATATTGAGACAATGTTTCTTGTTTCTGTGTGCAACACATTTTTAAGAATCTTTTGACCAATTCCTTTGATTTCTGTTTGTTATGGAAAGTCTTTATTTCACCTTCATTCACAGATGAGAGCTTTGCAGGGTATAATATTCTGGAATGACAGTATTTTTTTTTTCTTAGGACTTGGACTGTATCTCGCCTTCTCTCCTAGCCTGTAGGGTTTCTGATGAGAAGTCTGTTGTTAGTCTAATTGGAGCTATCCTGAAAGTAATCTGGTGTTTCCTTCTTGGATATTTTAGAATCTTCTCTTATGTTTCACTGTGGTGAGTTTGATTACAATGTGTTGTGGCAAGGATCTTTTCTGGTCATGCCTATTTGGAGTTCTGTGTGCTTCCTGGTCTTGTACATCCCTTTCCTTCTCCAAACCTGGGAAGTTTTTTGCTAGTATTTCACTAAAAAGGCCTTCTAATTCTTTCTCTCTCTCCATGCCTTCAGAAACTCTTAGAACCCCAATTTTTTATAGTATCCTGGAGATCCCCAATAGTGTTTTTTAGTTTTCTAATTTCCTCTTCTTGTCTGGTTTGACTGTATACTTTTCTGTGCTTTGTCTTCTAAGTCTGATATTCTCTCTTCTGCTTCCCAATTCTGTTTTTAAGGCTGTCTACTGCATTTTTTATTTGTTCTATTGAATTCTTCATTTTATTTTGATTCCTCTTTAAGATCTCAGTTTCATGGGAGAAATTTTCTTTCATGTCCTTCATGGATTTCAACAGTTCATGTGTTTGCTTTTGATTATTTCTATATAATCATGATCAATTTTTTTTAATTCCCTGTCTTGAATTTCTTCTCTCTCATCATCTTCACAATCTAGCAGTGAAGTGTTGTGTTCTTTTGCGAGTGTCATGTTGTCTTCCTTATTCTTGTGCATTTGTTGTTCTGCATTTGTGGAGATACCCATTGGTTTCTTCTTCTTTTTTGTTTTTGTTTTTGTGTCAGCTTTTATCATTGTACTATGACTCTGTATATAAGTAGAATGTCTGCTTTCAGTGAATTTCTAGAGGCCTGTAGTGAGTGTGGCCAGAGAGCTCTGTTTAGTTATCCAGTTTTAAGGGTGTTCCTAAGGACACACCCAGGTTTGGCGTGGTAAATCTTCTATTTTTTTTTAATCAGAAGGGAGTTACATTTGTCTCAGCTGGGCTCTTCTCAATGGAGACCAGTGCTTGAGTGCTAGCCCCAGTGTGTATAATATTCATCCACTCTGTCCCAAAGACCACACAAAGGATATGTGCAGTCCTCAGTTTAAGTTCAGATTCCCCAGCAATGTCTCTCACCACATAACCAGGAACCACATACTTGTGACGTTTCCCACTGAGACTTTTCAAATTCCCAGCCACATCGTGATTCCTTCCACACACCCTCAGTTTTTTTTTCACAGTCCCAGTTCAGAAGCATCACACAGTCACAAGCTCCTATCCCCTATTTTTACTCCCCACAAGAGTCAGGACTCTCCACTCAGCTGACTGCCAGGCGCAGACATGAGCTGGTGCAGCTGTTACATATGTCCTAAATGGTATCTGCTTTATTGGTTTGTCACAGTACACATTTGTAAAGTGATTGGAGAGAGAGAAACATGTCTGTACCGTCCTTTTTTTTTTCTCCTCTAGTTTGGCTGGTACACTTTCCCCCACAGGGCTTCAAGCCTTGTTCCCTCTAGGCTCTTCCTGCCGCTTTTTTTGCCAGTGGCTTGGGCTGTTGAGGGCTGTTTCCAGTGCTGGTGCGTAGGCTTTTGGCTGTTAGAGTCCCAAGCTGTGAGCTTCCACACCCTTCACATAGGTCCACTGTATCCCTCTAATTTTAGTAGAGCTTCCTCTGCCATTTTTTCCCTAACTCTTCCCTGAGACTCTTCACTTTTTTTAAAAAACTATCTTTTCCTGGGCTAGAGCAGTAAGCTCCCTCCCTACTCCATCATCTTGGAACTCCCTCTACCCCACACACACATTTTCTGATCTCATGTAAAGAGGGATATTTCTGAATACCTTGTGGTTTTCAGATTCCTCAGTGGACGTAATACCATGCCACCCAATAGTCCTTGGCCCTGACAGAAAATCAGAGCCATAGCACATGTCTGGATCACTCTCAATCTGGAGGATTCCAAAGAAGGAAGGCCCAAGGTCTACCAAGCGAGATAAATAGTGCAAAGAGCTAAAACTATAATATTGTAAAATATGTCATTAAATACAAGCATAAGCTCTGCAGCCCATTCTCTTTTTTTGTTGTTGTTTTTAAAGATTTATCTATTTGAAGGCAGAGTTATATAGAGAGAAATCTCCCAGCCACTAGTTTACACTTGCTAGGCTGAAGCCAGAAGCCTGGAATTTCATCTGGGTCTCCCATGTGGATGGCAAG